GGGGGGTCCTGGGCCCGTCCCCCAGGGGGTCCTGAGCCGGTCCCCGGGGGGTCCTGAGCCCATTCCCAGGGGGTCCTGGGCCCGTCCCCGAGGGGTCTTGGGCCCATCCCCGGGGGGTCCTGAGCCCGTCCCCGGGGGGTCCTGAGCCCATCTCGGGGGGTCCTGGGCCTCCTCCAGCTGCTCCCACAGCCACTGGGATTCCTCAGGCTCCCTTGGTGTTTCAGGAGAGTGTGGGTTTGCTTTGTAGCAATTGTCTGGGTTGCTGTGGTGAATAAACTGACTTTGATGAATTCTTCCCCATCTGTGTCCATGAGGGACTAATGGATAAACTGGGCAAAGCTGGTGTCACCCTCTGGTGGCCCAGGGTGTGAGCTGGGGCAGGTGGTTGCTTGGAGCAGGAGGGCTTGGGTTGGAAAAAGCTGCTCTTGAAAGAGAAGTGGAGCAGCCAGATTCTCAGATTGGCTGGGAACTATTTTTGCAGTAAATGCCCCCAGTGTTGGTCTCAGGCTGCTCTGCCCTGGTCAGAACTGGGTCTATGGAACTTGTAACCAAGTCCTATGTGCATGTACCAGCTTGTCATTCCTTTTGGGAGCACATCAAAGGTCTCTGGCAGCAGCATTTTCCTCGACAGCATTTTCCTCCAAAAACTTGTAATCATCTGGTTTTTCACAGACATTGAAGTCTTTGTTTTGTGAATTAATCTCAACACAGCAATCCCTCCTGAGGCCAGAGCTGTGCTGCTTGGTCCTTGTATTCTGCTTTTTCACTCCCTTGTTTTAATGAAAAAAAGGTCAAGTCAATCACTTTAATGACTACACAACTACCTGTGCACCTTTAAGTTATTCATCCTTCATGTTTGAAAGCTTCCTGCATGTTTTTCTCATCATTGGATTTAATATTAACAGAAGCTTTCACCTTCCAAATGGCCCTAATGCCTTTTGTTTATTTGTTTTAATTGGAGAAAGAAAGTGTCATTTCCCAAGACAGCTGAATCAGAGGGTCTATGATGATGAACCTGCTTGAGTGAGAGCCCAGAAACACCTGCCTGTCCCATCACCTGAGCAGGAACAAGGGCTTTTCCCTGCCTGGGGATGGGGTGGCAGCTCCTCCAGGAGGCCTCTTGGTGCTGAGCACCCTCGTGGTTGTTGTAGGAAGGATTGATTTCCTTCCAACTTGGCTGAGCATCCAATAGGGAACAGGAGAAGGGGACAGATTTGGTGGCTGTTGTGCTGCTGCTGAGTTAGAAGCAGAGATGGTGACAAAGCTCAGCAGCTTGGAGGGCTGCCTGGCCCTTGCTGTTCTCTCTCCTTGCCCTGCTGGGCTCAGCTGAGGAGTTCATCTGCTTTGTCACAACAGGGATCATGTGGAATGGTCAGAAGAGCAGGAAGCCAGTGCCAGGAGTAAAGTTGAAGACAACAGTTCCCAGCTGCTGCCACCAGACAAACAAGGTACTTTGGGGGTGTCCTCTCATGGGAACTCTTGACTTGTGCCTGCAAAGTGTGGCCAGAGCTACATGTGCTCAGCATTTATCCCTTCCTTCTCCCCTCTCCTGAATCATTTAAAATCCATTAGCTGGTTGTTGATAAAGAGAAATGGAGGAATTTCTCTGTTCTTCATTTACTTCTCCCTGACTTTTCCACCTTCTCCAGAGGCTCATCCTACTGGAACAGGAATGGTCTGGGTTGGGAGGAGTCGTCTTGGGTTGAGCTGCTTTGTTCATGTCATGAGAGAGTTGGGGTGTTCAGCCTGGAGAGAGAAGGCTCCAAGGGAGACCTTAGAGCAGCTTCCAGTGCCTGAAGGGGCTCCAGGAAAGCTGGGGAGGGACTTGGGACAAGGGCAGGGAGGGATGGGATGAGGGGGTTGGATGAAAACTGGGAAAGGGAGGTGAGACCTGAGGAGGGAATTCTTTGCTGTGAGGGTGGTGAGAGCCTGGCCCAGGTTGCCCAGGGAAGCTGTGGCTGCCCCATCCCTGGCAGTGTTGAAGGGCAGGTTGGATGGGGCTTGGAGCAGCCTGGGCTGGTGGGAGGTGTCCCTGCCCATGCAGGGGGGTTGGATCTACATGATCTTTAAGGACCTTCCAAACCAGTCTGGGATTCTATGATTTTACACAACCAAAATGCAGAGCTTGCCTGGATCTGAATCAAGCACAGCTCCACAGCCAAGTCACACAGCTGAAACTGTTCTGAGCTGGTTAAAAATGGATCTTTCCTCCACATCAGTTAGATACCATCCCCTAGATGATGGTGAAATGTCTTTCTGCTCTTTGGGGTGATAAGAGACTTGTTTGATGATGATCTTGTCATGCCCTGCTGAGCTCTAGGAAGGATCTGCTCCTTTTGTTCAGATGAAATTGAGTGTGTCATCTGTAAGGCAACACTGAGCACTACTGGAGCTATTGAGACACTTCCCTTAGAGCTTCCAGTTGTGCTCACAATAGGAAATTTAATTATCCCAAAGAGCAACCCTCCTAATTTCTTGGATTCCCAGAAGTATCCAGCAGTTTCTATTGTCATGCCCATTGTGTCCGAGTTGGTTTTCAAATCTGGTTAACATTAAAGGATGCTGCCTGTCATGCTTTGAGAACCTATATGCAACTAGGAAATTGTGGAGCAATTTGCTGCTGGAGCAGTTTGTCAGGTCTTCCTGATGGATTTCCCAGTCTGAACAATGGAGCCCAGTCAAATTTTGATGGTTCCTATTCAGTGGGAAGCGTGTGGAGACAATGGGATAGCTGAAACATAGGGAAGCCAGCCCAGCCAAATGTGCCTGAAGGGTCTAGTATTTTGAGAATCAGTCCTGTCCAAGGAGGAGAACAAAGACAGGCTGTTGGTCATGATGGCTGGATTATTCTGTGGACTTCTTGGGGCTGTCAGAATTTGTTCTGAAGAAGGAGAGGAGTTCTGTGGGATAATGTCGAAGATGTTTTTCTTGGCTGGGAACAAAGAAGAGTTGCTTGGGTTCTTTTGGAGGCTCCATAATTAGCCCCCATGCAATTCAGGGGGGGTTCTCTGGGGGTCTTTTTTTTTTTTCAACAGTTGCTTTTTTTCTCTTCCCTTCTTCTGCAGTGGGAAAGGGTGAGTATGGGCTTGGCTGTGGGGGTGTCCTGAGCAAGATAAGCAGAGAAATCAAGAGTCCTTCTCAAAAATAAACCTCTGGAGGAATCTGGCTTGAATGCTGGTGTCTCCCTGAGCTAATACCACAGACAGGACCTTGAAGCAAGTACTAGGTGAACTTTTCTGGCAGAGGTTGTCTAGGAAAACAGACTGAAAAATGTAATATGGTCATTTATTTCTTGCTTTAAACCTGTTTCTTGCATGAATTTGTCAGCCAGCCCTTGATTTCTTGCAGTTCTGTGGTTACTGAACCTTTATTCCAGTGCTTGGAAAACACTAGGTGTGAGGGAAATGAGCTTTAAATAAAGCTTCCACTTGTGTGGGTTGGAGTGTAACAGCTATTCAGGAGCATCCTGATTTCACAGGAATTGAACACAGGAAGAGCACAATGTCTTGTTCAGCTTTCTACGGTGGCAAAAAAGGGGGGAAGCCAAGGTGGCTGGGCTGGAATTTTGCCCCCCAGCACCTCAGGTGAGCACCCCAGTACAGTCAGGCTGTCATGGGAGTGTTAGGGAACAGCAGGAATCAGGACTTGATGTCCTTGTGAGGTGAAAGAGCATCTCCAGCCCCTTGCAAACCCTGCTAGAACATGGAAGAAGTGAGAGCTGAGGAAGGAGAGCACCAGAGTATGAATCAGTAATACTTCCTCCTCTGACATGAGCAGCCATGAAGTTAGTTCTCTTGTGCAAATAATCAACTGCTCTGGCCCTGCTGACTTTCAGCTGTGATCATGGGCACAAATTTGCTGCTCCAGTCTGGTGTCACACATGAAAATTTCTTTCAGCTTGGGGTTTAAGGACAAGGCTGCTTCAAAGGAGAAAGCCCTTGTAGTTGAGGTAAAGAGGTTCTTTTTATATATAGCTCTTTGTGCTTCAGGGATAGATCCTCCTAAAAATAGAGAGATGTCTGACTTCTCATCCCTTGTTAGGGACAGTTTTGGGACTGTTTGGCTGAGACTCTGCATTTTTCCAGGTGTGCCTGGTTCATTTTCCTCTCTCCCTTCACGTGTCTTCTAAACACTCAGATGCTTTTCAGAAAGGCTAATAAATAGACTGCAATTCAGATAATATTCATCTCCAATTTTGAGATGCCTGCTTTGTTTTTTAATTAACCCTGCTCTTAATAGAGGTTGAAGAGAGGTTTATTCACTCTCTTACACACTCATGATCATTAATTGTGGGAGAGTCATTTGCACCCAGTAATGCAGTCATTGCTGTGCAAAGGAGGAGCTGGATGGGACTGAATTTGGGATCTCTGGCCATGGATGTTGATGCCTCCAGGTGATGACAAGCACATCATTAGCTCTTCTTTCCCAGGACAGGGAACTCATCACATGGATGAGAATTCAGGAAGCCAGCAGGATTCCTGACTTCCCATGGAAAAAAATAGTTCCCCATGAACTGTATTTAAGCTGAAATCTGTGAAGGTGTTTGGAAATAACTCTGAGGGTGAATCCAGTTTCATGAGGTCGTGGCTTTATACCAGTTCTTCCAGCTCTCATCTTGCTACTGGGATATATCCTGGTGGGAAAATTCCAGTGCTGCTAAAGTGAATGTTCATCATCCTTTGTCTGTCCACCTGATCTCTCCACTATTACTTCAGTGACACTGATTCATTCTGTTGATATTCCCCTCTTCTGTTTTAATTTCCCAAATGTGTGAAGCTCTTTAAGATGCACAGAACTATGGAAAACAAGAACTCCAGCAACATTTTGTGTAAAACATGGAATGTTGCACAGATGCTGGTTGGGCTTTCTGCCAGGCCTGCCTCCTGGCCTCATGTTTCTGTTGCTCCACCAGAGGAAAAAAAAGGGGTAGCCTGTTGGACAGGAGCTCTTCAGCTCCAGGGAGCTGTCACAGAATTCCTTAGAGGTTGTAAGTGCTTGACAGGAGGCTCCAAATGGATTGTTCCAGTGAAGTGAACAAGTCAGTGTTAGAGATGGAAGTAAAACCTGGATTTCTTCATTGCAGTCTCCTTCAGTCTGTTGCCAACTGCCTTGATCTCCCACCAGGAGTCAGTTTTCTACCTCTTTTCCCTTTTTCAGTCCTGACAAAGAGGCTGTGAGGAGGCAGGCTGAGTGTTTCTGGGGGATCACAAGGGGATTTTCCAGCCCTACCCTTCCCCAAGCAGGTCCCTGCAGGGGTTTGTGCAGGGATCCCTCCCTGAACTGTCCGAGACCTTCTCCCGTGGCTGCTGGTGACCTTTGTCTTTGTGTTCACAGAGGAATATGAGGTGAATGCCAAGAGGTACTGGGATGACTTTTATAAAATCCATGAAAATGGTTTCTTCAAGGACAGGCACTGGCTGTTCACTGAATTTCCTGAGCTGGCTCCAAACAGCAACCCAGGGCAAAATGGGAATTCTGTGCGTGACTTTAGGAACCAAGAAGGATCCAACCATGGAGGGCTTGGAAGCTGTGAAAATGGACACTGTTCATTGGAAAGCAGGGCAGAGAATGAGTTAAACCTGATGAAGAGCACAGCTGAGATGTGCACAGAGGAGCTGGTTCCACAGCAGTGCAGGGAGCTGAAGGAAAGGGATGGAGATTACCCGGGATCATCGGCATCTTACCGGATATTGGAGGTAATGGCTGTGAAACTGTGTCACACACCATCCAGTCCCTTGTACCAGTGCTAGTGGGACTGGGACATAAAAATGTGTCTCACTGGCAAACAGCAAGTGAATGGGATGGTTGTTTGAAGTCAGTGAAATGCAGGAAGGCAGCTTGGAACCAGGGTCAGTCTGTTGGGATTCTTTTGGTCTAGCCTGTGAACTGACAGAGCACAAGGACCATGAGAAGTTTCTGTTTAAAGACAAACTGTTACTATCAGTTGTTGAAACAAGCATTTCAAAGTCATCTTTTGAAGAGGCTGAGCCTTGTCTGCAGAAGGCTTTCCCTTCTCATTTTTGGTTTGCATGTTTTTGTGGCTCTTGTTTGCCTTGGGAGATGTGAAACACAACCATGAAACAGAGGCTATTTGCTTTTATTCCTGGTGGCCTGTGGAATAACAGGGAATCTCAGGCTGATCCAGGGTTTGTCCCAGAAAAGGCTGTAGGGTTTGTAAATATTAGACTCCTGACCTTTAGCTCTGCCAACTCTAGTTTGCTCACTGTGGAAATCACTGGTTGTGTGGAATGCTTCATGTTCTGTGGAAGTTCTGCCCTTCCAGGGAGAGTCAAGATGAACTGTCCTCTGGATTATTTTTTTCTTATTTAATCTGAGGCTTCAAGACTTCCTCCGACTTGGATGTTCTTGGGTTGTTGTGGCTTTCCTGCCTCACCTGAGCACTTTCAGTATGATCTGTGTGGCTTTCCTGCCTCACCTGAGCACTTTCAGTAAGACCTGTGTGGCTTTCCTGCCTCACCTGAGCACTGTCAGTAGGATCTGTGACTTGAAGTGGTGTTTTTTGCTGGGTCTGTTTCGATGTTACAGATCCTTTAGACATCCAGAGGCACATTCCCCAAGCACATTGTGTGAGCCATCTGCAGGTGGGAACAAGCAGAAGGAGTAATAAGGCAGGATCATAGTTGTGACTTGAGGAAGAGCCACCTAGTGAAGGGAACTCTGAAACAGCAGGGCGTGATTATAGTGAAGCAAACTTCCTTCTCCATTGCTCTGGTGGAAGTGAAGGCAATTAATCCAAGGGCAGTGACTCACACTGGTTGTTACACTTGGGATTCCAACAACAACAGCTTTCAAAAGAGTAACAATATATAGCTTGTCAGTAGGATTTCTTTGAGAACTGCCTTGGAGGTTTCCCAGAAATGCTTATATAGAAGCCTAACCCTCAGAGCTGAACATAGTCACATCTTGCAGTGAGATGTGCAGGTGGTCACTGCTGTGCTCAGTTGTCACCCCTGAGCTGCTTTTTGTTCTGTGGCTGTAGAAGGATGATCTGAAATCAGCTGCCTGGGATGTGCTGCAGAAATGATTTTCACTCTGTGTACTTGTGCTGTGTCTGTGCAGGTTGGCTGTGGTGCTGGAAATACAGTCTTCCCAATCTTACAAACCAACAAGTAAGTAGTTTTCAGTCAGTTTTTACCTGCATGATGTACCAGACTCTGGAAAACAGTTGGAAAAGTGCTGCCTGTGTTGTTAGTTTAGAGAATCTCAGAGCAAGGCCACATGCAAATGGTACCTTTGGTGTCTACGACTTCAGATGATTGTGTTTTGAGGTTGGAAATCTTTGGTCTTAGAATGCAACCATCAGAAGATGATGTGGGTTTCCATGTCTCATTCTGGAAGCATTTTCATGCAGACCTTACTTAGTGTCTCTGCTTTTCCAGGAGGAAAAGTGAGGAGTCAGTTCCTGGGAGATAACTGAGGCAGAAAGGAGCAACACACTCAACCAGACTTTGCATGATTGACAGAGAAAGACTAAAGCCAAGGATTTCTGGCTCTGTGCCTCTGAGACACTTCTTAATTCCTGTGGAGCACCTTAATAGAAATGGTGATGGTTTATTTTCTCTATTTCAGTGACCCAGGCCTTTTTGTTTATTGCTGTGATTTTTCTGCAACCGCCGTGGATCTTGTCCAGGTAAACACCATGAGGACTTGGGAAGGTAGGAAGCACCTGGTGCCAGTTGCACATTCACCCAAATATCACAGCTGCCACCAGCAGCCTAGCTGGGTTGGCAGCTCACTTTTTTTAGCTAGCCCTGATGCTGACCCTTGTTCTGGTACATTAGGAGAATGAGCCATCAAAAATTGTAGGAATAGGGGAAGTTGGAGTTCTCAAAATGTCACTTCAGGCAGCAGGCAAGTCAGCCAGGTTTTCTTTCCCCTGTGGCTGGCAGAGCTTTGAAAAATCCAGTG